GCCTATTGTCTTCCTCTGCCACACACCTTTGAGAACAGGAAGCAGGGTCTGAAGGACTGGACGGCTTGGGAGGACCACCCGGCCCACGCTAGCACCGGGAGAGCCATAACGGCATTCTGGTTGTCTCCCATTTTCCTCTTCTTCTCCCATGGGCCACCGAGAACATCCCAGACCTTTCCATAATACAGTGCTCTGATTTCTGTTTGTCTTTTGGTTTGTAGTTATTACCGGATTTTTTTTTTTTTTTGGTTTTTATGAGACAGGGTTTCTCTGTATTGTTTTGGAGGTTGTCGGTCCAGCCTGGCCTCGAACTCACATAGATCCGCCTTCCTCTGCCTCCCGAGTGCTGGGATTAAAGGCGTGAGCCACCACCGCCCGGCTCGGATTGTTTTTTAAATACTAGACCTTACTAAGTAGGCCAGGCTGGCCCAGAAGTGGATACGTGGTCCAGGATGGCACGGAACTTGCAACCTCCTGAGGGCTGAGATGATGTGTATGTCTGTGCCGCTGTCTTAGTTAGGGTTTCCAACCATGTGAAGAGAGCCATGACCACGGCAACTCTTAATAAGGAAAACAATCAGCTGGGTGGCTTACAGGTTAGAGGTTTAGTCTAACATCACTGCGTTGGGACATGGTGGCATGCAGGCAGACATGATGCGATGCCTAAATCTTGATAGGCAACAGGAATCGAACTGTCTCGCTCGGTGTAGTTTGATCATAGGGAACCTCAAAGCCCACCCCCCACAGTGACACACTTCCCCCAACAAGGCCACGCCCACTCCAAACAGTACCACCCCTTTTAAGCTTATGGGGACCAATTACATTCAAACGACCACAGCCTCCAACCTTAACAGATGGTTTTACTGCAACCCATTTTAACAGGGACAATTGCTATTATTTGCTGTGCTGGAGAGCTAACCCAGGGCCCTGTGCATGCCATGAAAGTGCTCTAGACCCAGGCATACCCCTAGCTCTCCACTGATGAATTCTAGAAGCACTCATCTGTTGAGCCAGACCTTCTCCTCACCAGGGCATTCTGGATTCTGGGCAGGAGCGCTACCACTGAGCCACACCCCAGCCCCTCACTGGGGGATTCTAGGCAGGGGCTCTACCTTTGAGCCACACCTCAAGCCCCTCACTGGGGGATTCTAGGCAGGAGCTCTACCACTGAGCCACACCCCCAGCCCCTTACTGAGGGACTCTAGGAAGGGGCTCTACCACTGAGCCACACCCCCAGCTCCTCACTGGGGATTCTAGGCAGGGGCTCTACCACTGAGCCACACCCCAGCCCCTCACTGGGGGATTCTAGGCAGGGGCTCTACCATTGAGCCACACCCCAGCCCCTCACTGGGGGATTCTAGGCAGGGGCTCTACCACTGAGCCACACCCACAGCCCTTGTCCTGGTTCTTCTCACTGTTTAGGACTCAACACTCAGGTTTACCTACGAGTTTCCAAACACAGTGAGAATCATCAGTGTTGGCCTCTTAGCCATGTTGCCCTCAGTTCTCAGCAAAGGAGGACAGGAACTCTCCACCAGCAGACAAGTTGGTATGGGAAAACAAGAAGTCAACCCAAAATGGAGCAAGGGGGTTTGCCTACAGTCTGTAGCTGAAACCTCTCCCTGTCGTGTTCCCTCCCCCGTTGAGAGGCATTTGGACCTCCTGCGCAGCTCCAGGGAGCTCAGGCTGTGAACTCCGAGGCCATCGAACGAAAGCGGCCCTTGACGTTACTTGGGATGCGAAGAGATGTGTTTGTCGCAAATCTTTTGGTGGAGAAACACATATCAGAACCCGTAAGCAGGCGTAGGGCTTCAAGCCTGGGCTCTGCAGCGCGTCTCCACCTCCCTCGCTGCAGAGGCTGAGCCTGACTTTCAAAAAAGGGCACTGCAGCCCTTAGCAAGTCTCAGGAGGAAAACTCACTGCTTGTTCCTTCCAGGGGCTCCCCCACCCCCGGGCCTCCTTCCGGGATCCCCCCCAAGGGAAGGGCGAGTGAAAAAGAGCACGGAAATGTGGGGGGTGTCAAAGGCAAGCTGCATTGTTGATGCCTCTCGGTGTCTGCCTGAGTATTAGATGCAAATAAGGGCTAATAAGGACAGTTGGGGAAGCTAATGGAAAAACCGCCCTCCCCAGGAGGATCGCTGCACACAGGGCAGCTCCAACGGTCCTGACTAGCTGTGCTCACCGGCCACGGGGAAGCCGGTGCAGAATGGCTCTAGGGAAAATAGAGCCTGTGTAAACTTGTCCTATGAAGGCCATTGGTGTTCAGGGCTCCTCCCAGCTTTGAGGCTAGGCTAGGGATGGAAGCTCCCATTATCTCTCCACCGGCCAATGCGTGCAAACACGTGCATGAAGGTAGGTGTGTGTGGGCATGTGTATGCTCACCCTCCAAAGGGTGCACGCCACTGAAGAGGTTTTGGTGACCGTCAGGGTTCTGAGACCAAATCCCGTCTGCAGATGTGGACCTCACTGGCAGCTGTTCAGTCAAGCTGTGGCCAGGACTCCGGGTGCAGTGACAGGCTGGAGGCGGAGGGGCCGTAAAGCCATGGGGACTGCAGCCTAGGCCGGCTGGAAGGGAGGCAGCTCTCTGCACGCTCCCCTGGGTTTGTTTCCGTCCCCCCCACCCTGCTCTGACAGCGTCTGGACACAGCTTGATGTTTCACTGACCCGCTCTCCCTGACTCTCGAGTCCGGCCCCTCACACCCATCTCACTCAGTGGGGACTTGACTGAGGGGACACACACAGGCCCCTTCCTTCCCACAAGTAACTGCTGCAGCCAGAGGGAGCAGTGCAGGTCCCAGCGACTCAGACTATCTCGAGATACCCGAAGGGGGGTACCTCGGCATGAACCACTTGGAAGCCGCCGGCGTACCTGGTCCCTGCTCTGCCACCCTCCAGGTTTGTTGACGGTGACGACTTGGTGGCATCTCAGTTCCCTCGTGGGAAAGGTAAGAACAATAGCAGCGCATACTGCGTTGCTGAAAACTGAAAGGGACAAAAGGACGCTGGGCGTAGTGGTACGCAGATGGGTTCTTCTCTGGGCCGCCAGCTCACAAATAGGGATACGGAGAATTGTTATTAATTATGAAAGCTCGGCCTGTAGCTTAGGTTTGCTCCTAACTAGCTTTTGTTTTGTTTTGTTTTTTTGTTTTTTGTTTTTCCAAGACAGGGTTTCTCTGTGTTGTTTTGGAGTCTGTCCTGGAACTTGCTCTGTAGACCAGGCTGGTGTCGAACTCAGAGATCCGCCTGCCTCCGCCTCCCGAGTGCTGAGATTCAAGGCGTGTGCCACTACCGCCCGCCTCTAACTACCTCTTGTAACTTAAATTAACCCATTTCTATGAATCTATGTTTTACCATGTGCCTGGTTTTTTTTTTTTCTTTCTTTCATTCTGTGTGTCAGACTCCCTCCATGTCTCCTTGGTCTCTCTCTGACCCTCCTCCTACTTCCTGTCTCTGTCCGTAAGTCCCACCTGTACCTCCTGCCTGCCTAGTTATTGCCAGTCAGCTCTTTGTTAAACCAATCGGAAGGTGCCTTGACAAAGACTCATCTTCACAGTGTAAACACATACTCTGCGGTGACAGTGGTATCCACCTGCAATCCCAGCACTTGGAGGTTGAGAAAGGAAGAGCATGTATTCCTGGTCAGCCTGGACTACACAGCAAGTTTGAGGCTAGCCTGGGCTATATATAGAGAGAGACTATCTCCAAAACAGAAACAAAAACAATGGGAAGAAGGTCATTGTGTGCTTGTTTTCACCTACCCCCGTGGCGACTCTCGGACACTCCAAGCTTAACTGAGGCTATAGAAGAGGCCCCAAGACCACTCGGGCCTTCCAAGAACTCCAGTGTTGGGGCCTCCTGTCTGTGCTCAAGGGTGGCTCTGGTCCTTACCTCCCCCCCCCCCCCCCGCGAGGCTGCCACATCCTTCTCTGGTCACTCAAGGCCACACGTCCATTTCAGCCCCTAACTTCCTCACCCGTGTGGGTCAGCTGGATGGAACTAGGTCAGCCAACCAAATAACAACAATCGTCGTCTCAGGGAGGGACCTGCCATTCCGTTTTACTGGAAACTTCTATGCGTTTTGTTTTGATTTTTGAATTGTCTTCTGTATGCACCTTCAAGTCTTAGGCAGTGGCTTAGAATGGTTGGTGTGTGCGCGCAGCTAGTCTCTCCTCCCAGCGCCGGATTGCCCCCTGCAGGTTGTGGCTACTCTTCTCTGGAAAAACAAGGGTTTGAATCTACAGCCCTCACCCCCCCCCCGGAACCGAGTGCCGGTTCCACCCTTGTGCGGCGTGGCTGTGGACCTGTGACTTTCCCATTCTTATTCTGGGTATGGATGGAGAGGGGTTGCTTGCTTCAGCTCTCGGGCTGGTGTCAGGAGAACCCTTAAGGATGAAGTTCTCAAGCGAGAATCCGGTTCACTGGGCACTCGTGGTTAACTACAGACCCAGAAATGCGGGGGTGGGTGCCAACAACAGACAAAGCCTTGGTCGGAGTCCACGTGGACTGTAGTCTGGGAACCTAGCTGACTCTTCCGTCCATCAATCCCTTTGCGAGCCCTGCGCCCCCGCAGCCTTGGGTCTCCAGCACACAACCCTGCCTGCTGGCGCCTTTTCCTTTTTCCCCAGGTCAGCGTGGGGTTGGTTACTCAGTGCCACCACCGGGGCAGTGGCAGCCAAGAAGCTGCGGACTGGAGCCAAGCTGCAGACCCAGAGTCCAGCACTTGGGGATCCCCGAGCCCGCGCCAATACCGCCCCACCCCCCGCGCTCGCCCGACCGCGCCCAGCGGCATCTCCTTCGGAGCGCGCGGCCGGTGGGGCCTCGGGAGCCGCAGAGCGCGCGTGGGTGTGGCGTCCGTGAGCTCCCGGGAGGGTTGAGTGATCGGAGATTTCCCCCTACTCTGCCCCGCCACGGCGGTAGCGGCTTTCCACCGTGGGGCGGGGCCCGGACTGGGGGCGGGGCGCCGGGCGGGCGCGGCGCTATTTCCAGCCTCGCCGGAGGCTTCGCTCGCACTTCGCTGCGAGCCTTCCCGGCGCTGGAGCCGGATCCGGTGGCACCGCGGGGAGGAGACAGGACCGGGCGGTGGCGGCGGAGACCGGGGGGACGCAACCAGTGCTGGTGGGGACCCAATAGGAGCACGCCGCCGCAACCTCTCCTGCGCGCTCCGGCCGCCGACTCCACGCCAATCGTCCACTCCCAGCACCTAGGACTACGCAAAGAAAGAGACCCAGCCCGGCCCGAGTCGGGGCGGAGATCCTCCTTGCTTCCCAAGCGCCCGGGAGGAGGAATTCTCCTACCGCCAAGAACCGAGCCGGACCGGAGGAACCCGTGGCCTGGAAAGCAACGGCAGCAGCAGGTAAAGTGCCTGCGCCCCACATCATCCCGTCCCCTCCCTGTGCCGGCTGCTCACCCGAAGGGATGCCCCAGGGAACCCTTGAGTGAACCCGGACCGCTCTGAGCGCAGTCCTCGCCGCTCGACATGTATCGGAGTCCCAAGCTGCAGGTGCTGGTGCGGGCGTGCGGTGCTTGGGTCTGGCTGTACTTTGGGGACCGGCCCCCATGAGCGGGAACTTTAATTAGACTTTCGATCCTTGATTTTCTCCACGCCTGGGAACTGCCTCTCTCTCTCTCTCCTACTGGCTCTCCCTGAGGACCCTCAGCTCCTCCTCCTAGATCTGGATGCTGAGTGCGTGGAGGCAGCTTTGGGCACTGAGCGCCCCAGGGCCGGGCTGGAGCGTCCAGGGTGCCGAGGCTTTGATGTGAGCTTGGAACTGGGACTTAGGGGTCAGCTGGGGGCCAGCAAGGCGAAAGGGGAAGTTAATGACGACCTTGGCCTCCTACCGGGAGGCATAAGGTATCCCTGCGCTCCATCGCGCGCATCTCCACCCGGCAACTCTCTAGGGCCCCGGCCTGTTTTGTGCACCGGGAAAGTGTGCGTGCGTCAGTGATCGCAGGGAGGTGTGTGCTTGCGTGCATCCCGGAGTGCGGGAGTTGGAGCCTCGGGCGACTGGGAGTAGGGGACTGTGAGATGATGCTCTTTGCGGCGGCGGGACCGAGCCCATCTCTAGCGGCGCTGCAACTCCAGCTGCTGAGCAAGGCTGCGTTGCCAGCTACAGCTCTGGCTTCTCCAAAGGCTGGCCTGGCCAGGCGAAGGTGCGTTCCCGGGTTTGGGCAGGGCCAGAGGTGGCGCTTGGGCACGAAGTGACCTCTCTATTTCCCGCGCAGGACTCCAAACCCTAACTTTAGTTGTACATCTTGCCTCTGGTTCCTGCGGCCCTCACCGGGCCCCGGAACAGTCAGAGGACTATGTCCTGGGCTGCAGGCGTTCAGGTCGGATCTTGGAACACCCTGCCTTGCAGTCATTTCAGCATCACCTGGCGTCGCATCTCTGATCCGCCTCCCAGCAGGACCCTAAGCATGATTGGCTCTAAAAGGAACAGGCTTCCAGGGCTCTCTGTTTCTATGGAGGCAGCAAGTGGGAGACTCGGTTGGGGGCAAGGACATAGATACCTCCAGGTGGTCGCGGTGGGTAAAGGGGCCAAGGCAGGTTAACTCTTTCCCCAACCTCCCCCCAGGGTCACAGGCACGAGCTTCCTCCACCAAGTCCACTTTTTTGAGGGTCCACCTTGACCTTACCTTGGTGGACAGGGGCCCCTGTCTTAAGTCCCACCCTAGTGCAACCTTTGACATGCGGAACTCTTTTTAAAAAGTTCCTACCCCCACATCCTGTCAGCACCCCCAAAAGCACACTTGGAAAGAGTGAGCGAGGGGTCGTGGTTCGCACAGAAGACCCTCTTCTTTTTCAGGCGGGGTCTCAGCGTGCAGCCCAGGCTCTCATGACTTCAACCTGCTGAGTGCAGGGATTACAGGTGTGCACCATCCCGTCCTAAAAGACCTTTTCTTTAAACCAGGCGACCCCATCACCTACAGGCAGACAGGGGCCCGGGGCCTCTTGAGGAGAGTGGAAACATGCTTGGGAGGCTCCAGCGCTCCCTAAAGTGACACACAAGAGAGGTGCTACTCAGACCCTGAAAAAGACCGAGTCAAATTGGGGTGATCAATAATCCAGTAGCACTGGAAGACAGAAAACGTCGAAGCCTGACCCTGTCCCATTGTTTGGTGGAGTCACCATGGGACACATGGATGGCCAGTGTAGTATTTATTCATTTACCGGGAATCTGGCTTTGTGGGAGTGAATTATGTTCCCCGGGCATTGATTTTTGTTCTTCTTGTTGCTTTTTATTAAAGACCCCAAAATTTAAAAAGCCAAGGCTTTTCTCAAAGCAAGGTCAAGGGTTAATTATTTATAGAGAGACATCCATCAGCCGGGGAGGGGGGATGTGCTCATTTATAAATTCCCTGAGTGGGCAAAATGCAATCTATTTTTCTCTGGCTCCAGCCGGGAGAGGAGAGCTGGCTGGCTTGACGGAGGACGCTTTGTAACTCAGCCTGCTGTTGGAGATGCCTTTTCCATCTTGTAGCTGGAACATCACTTGGGGAAATTTTATGCATATTTGCTGTGTTTCCGTAATGAACATTTACTGATTAACAGAGTATCCAGGGAGTTTTGTTTTTTAAACATTTATTCAAATTTCTGTTTATGTAAGCTAATAAGTCTGGGAAAGTTCAGTTAACTACCCCACCACCACCACCACCCCTACCCCAATGGATGTTGCTTGGCAGGCTTGTCTCAGAATTTACCCTCCATTCACTTACAACGGGGAAGTCAGATTCCTCTGATTGGAAATACAGAGCTGGCTGCTGCCCTGCACCTCACTCTGAGCTCCTGCCAGCCGCTACTCTTTGTGGTTTTGCTGATGGAGGAGCTGTGATTGCTGTTTTGCTGGCTGTATGGGGCCGGGGTACTCTGCTGCCGCCACTGGGGTGCTGACGGGGGCAGACAGGGAAGGTGTGGTCACCAGCTCACGCCCCTGCCTCTTGCCTACCGCTGACCCGGAGTCTGACCCCTGTCTTAGCGTGCCCAGGTGTCCCCCCCCCAACACGTTCTGATTTGCCTATGCATGGCAGCTACAAAGAAGAAATTACAGTCGGTGAGCAACTGTGTTAATCACAGGCCTGTGTTAATCAGAAGGTAACGAGTCTTCTAAACAGGAGGTTTATATAATGCTGGCCCGAGGAGGTCAAGACGGCACTGCAGAGGGACAGCCAAAAATAAAGCGGATGAGTAAAGATTCCGCGTGTGTGCCTGCGTGCGTGCGTGCGTATGTGGCATCAGTATCGGGGCTCTGGTCGGAGGTGGGCAGCCCCCGTGTGAGGCTGTGGTGACCAGAGGCTCCTGGAGCTGTGTCCTTGGAGTCGCTTGCTAGATCTGACTTCAGAGCAGCTGTGTTGTCCCTTGCCTCCCATGACAAAGCTGTCCCTGAGTAGAGGAGACTCACTGACTCAGGTAACCCGCGGACGGCTTTCCTGAGCTCAGGTGGCGGAGGAGAGGGAGACATCGGCTCACTTCTTATTGGCTGAAGGCTAAGTGACCCTCTCCGGTCAGGGAACTGCTGTGGCAGAGGATGCGGCCCACACATCGCTAGTATGAAGGAGCTGTGACCTCTGCCCTCCGGAAAACTACCTGTCATTTGTGATCTGGTGTTGCAGACAGGCTCGCCCGGGACTCGGGACTTGATTGTGGGTGGTTAGGAAATCAGAGGAGCAGTGAAGGCTGTCAGGAAGCCGGAGAAGACTGTGTCCCCATGGGCCAACAGCCAGAAGCGGCCCTGGTCCCATGCTCACAGAGTACCCACATGTAGGCCCAGGGCCCGTGTGTGTGTGTGTGTGTGTGTGTGTGTGTGTGTGTGTGTGTGTGTCAGACAGAGCTGCCTCCCCAGGCTGGCAGGTGGAGATTTTCATTCTTATTCCCCACCCGTAAGACCCTGCTTCTGGGGAACTAGTACTTTGTGTGTGTGGAGGGGGAGGGGAGAGTCTGGTGGCAATGAGGGTATGGCATCACTTTCCTGTCAAACCCAGCTGGCTTTGGTGAGTGACATTTATTTGCGCTAAACTATGATTGTCAGTGTTGAAACCTGGAGTCAAATGACTCTTGTGTCACACTCCCAAGGCCAGCCCCCTTGTCACTCTCCTTCATTCTGCCATCAGTGAGTGTTTGTTGAGTACGTATCGGGTGTCCCTTGTGGGACAGAGACTTCACCGTCACTCATTCATCTCGCCATCATATGCTAGGCAAAGGCATTATCAGACACAGCCGGAGCCCGAGGGGGAGTCTAGGCTTGAGAAAGGTTGGAAGGGGCGCCCGGCTTGTTTCCCCACGGCATCGGATCCGTGTGCGCTGAGCAAGTGCTCTGCCGCTGAGTTGTTATAAGCCCTACAAACAAGCGAGCTGACTTGGACGGAGGTCAAAGGGCTGGAGAGACGGCTCAGAGAGGTTCCTAGCACTGGCTGCTCTTCCAGAGGTCCTGAGTTCGATTCCCAGCATCCGCACAGTGGCTTGGGCTGAAGACCTGAGGTGGGAGGGACTGAGGCTCTTCTGCTAAGATCTGAAGGAGTGGCTGGTATGTTCCAGCTGAGTCGGGAGGGATGGTGGGGGCGCAGCCTGCACAGCTGCCCCTGCCGAGGGAATAAATGAGAAAGCTCTGGTCACCAGTGATCAGAAGACCCCTGTGTTGCCACTGATGAAGGAGAGGGACGGAAGTGATGGAGACCTGAAAACAGGGAGCCTTGGAGGCCGAGCCGCATCTGGATTTGGGATTTTTATCCAGCTAACGGCTGTGGGGTTTGGAGACCCGTGAGAAGGGAGCAGCAAAGGCCCCAGAGATGAAGATCCCGCAGTTCCAGAGGCGTCAGTTTGGGAGGGGACGTGGTGAGGCGGGGCTTGCGGGACACTGGTGAGAACTCTTGGCTCCCTGAGACAGAGATCCTCCTGGGGTCCTGAGCTCCTGTCCATTCCAGGACTGGGTGGTCCGATGGCTGGCGGCACAGCCAGGCCTCCGTGGCACTCCCCCAGCCACCTCCATCCATGCTTGTCAGTGTGACTGTCTGCCGCTGTCGGGAACCGCCAAGACGAAGACCATGAGCCCAGGGTGGCCCCACCCATGGTGGGCCGGCCACTCCCACGTCAACCATTAAGTACTTATTTATTTATGTAGACTAGTGCTCTATCTGCATGCGTGCCAGCATGGCAGAAGAAGGCACCAGATCCTGTTGTAGCCCCTGGCCACACATGTGGTTGCTGAAAATTGAACTCAGGACCCCCAGAGGAACAGACGGTGCTCTTAACCACGGAGCCATCTCTCCAGCCCCAAATCAATCTTAATAAAGAAAAAACGCCATTAAAGACATGCCCCAAAGGCCAATCTGACGGAGGCATCCTCTCAATTAAGTTTCCCT